CATCTTTGTTGGTATGTGGTGCTGAGGATCGAACCCGGGCCACACGCATGCCAGGCGAGCGCGCTACCGCTTGAGCCACATCCCCAGCCCCCATTATTCATTGTTAAGAATGTGTCTGGTTGCAAGTAATAGAAAACTCCAGAAACAGAAAACTATGGCATAAAAAAGATTCTCCCCTCATAAAACGGGAAGGTAATATAGGGTTTGCACTGGTGCCTGGGTATGCCCTTTTGTCTTTCTTTTCTACCTTTCTTAGTACAGTCCACTCATGGTCTCCAAATGCCTGTTGCATCTCGGTTGGAACAGTGAAGTAGGCAGAAGGAGAAGGACACAGATTTCCCAATACTCCCCTTTTATTCTAGGTTTCCCTGGGCCTATATAAGTCTATATCTTATTGTGCAGGACTCTGTCTCACTGCCACACTTGCAGGGAGCTTGGTGACTACATGCTTTGCTTTTTTAGCCTCTGTAGTGTAGAAAGGGAAAGGAGGGGTGGCTGGAATAGATATTGAGTGAGTTTCCTAAAGTATGTGTCACATTGTATTTAAATGTTTGATCCACAATGTGTCCTGGCACATTCTTACCCCTTTTTCCTCTTCATTTCTGTAGCTACTTTCCTGGGCTTGAGGAATTGCTCTCCTGTTTTATCCGTTCTGGGGGAATACCAGTTCCTTTGCCACTCCTTTCAGAGGGTGAGGAGTTGCATTTTCTTTCTCTCTTTGCTCTTTTCAGACAAGCATGCCTTCAGCACTACTCAACATCCTGATCCCTCCCCCTCCGAATATTCAAGGTCAGTCTCAAGGCTAGCCCTTCCGTGAATTTCATCATTCCTCCCTCCTCTTTTCTCTCTGCCCAAGTTTCCCCCTTTACACACACACAAGGTATTTGGGCTAACCTCACTACTGGTATTATTTTCTTCGTTGAAGTCGAAACCAATTATTTAAAGTGGTAGGTAGTCTGCAAAACGTCTGGTGCATGGCAGGTGCTCAAATCAGCATTTCTTGCTATTAAAAGTCTTATCTCCCATATCAAACTCAGTTACTTAATGAGAGGCTCTGAACTGATGTCTGATTCATCTTTTTAACCCACACCAGGCCTGGCTAGAACGCTGCTCTTAACTAACGCTGTGCCTGTCTAATAAGACGCCGGGCAAAAGGCATAATTTCAAAGAAAGAATGCTGAAACGGTGGGATGTGAGAAATTTCTGCAGCGTGAGTGGCAGCCAGGATCTTTCAGAGAAGCCCCTTACTCCTCCGCACTGGTAGCAGGCTTGAATCTAGATTGTCGTATGAGTCATTGGGACACAGGTGGAGTGGCTCCCCGGCTGCACCGAGGTACCGGCATCCGTCACTTCACTTATAGCTCTCCACTGGAGCCGGAAAGGGAGGAGTGAACATGCCTCGCGCGGCCCTCTGGGATGGCTGCGCACGCGCAGCTTCCGGCTCCATATCTCGGGAATTATTTGACACCACCGGCTCGGCCCCTCAGAAGTCTCTGATCAGGCGCATCGCGCAAGCGCAGTGTCCCATTTGGCTGGGGAGTTATTTGACGCCGCCGCCCCTGGCAGTCGGAAGTTGCCTGAGCAGAGCCCCGCCGGCCGGCCCGACCGGCCTTCGTCGTCCCCAGGCGCCCTGGGAGAGTCACCGACTGGTGTACTGACTGACCGCCTGAGGACGGCCGGCCGGGGCGGTGAAAGAGCAGGCCTAATGGCGCGGGTCGCGTGAGGCGGAAAGCTGAGTGCGGCCGGCGGCGGCGCCCGCCCCAGCGATGCGGGCCCCGCCCGTCGCCTCAGGTAACCGGGCTGTCGGCCCCGCGGCGGCTAGACCCTCCCCTCCCATCTTCTCCTCTTCCCTTTGGCGATCGCTGGACTGCTGAGGCTTGTTTCTGGGCTCTGGGTGCTCCAGGCGCCTGACCTTCGGAAGCGCATCTCCGAATTTTGAGGGAAGCCACCGGGGTAGGGTACCTTGGCCCCAGGGTCGGCGGCTTCTCTCTGGTCTGTGCAAACCCAAGCTGGCCCTTGGGAGCTGCCCTGGCCGGGCGAAGCTCTCTCCTGGCAACCCGCGGGAGGGGGCGGGTCTGGAGCCTGGAAGACAACTCCGCAAAGAATTTGGTCCAGCGGAAGGGTTGGCGGAGTTGCTGCCGCCCAGTGGGGATGATGCTGCCCAGTGGGGATGATGCTGCCCATTGCACGGTGACGCTGGGATGAGGAAGAGTTGGTGATGAGAGTAAACACCTAACCCTTTTCAGCGCTTGCTGTCCTGCAGGCTTTGTGCCAGGACGTACGTTCTGCACATCTAAGTTCACAACAACCCCTTGAGGTGATAGGTGTTATCCCCACTTTATTGGCGAGGTAACTGAGGCCCTGAGCTGTTAGGTGACTTAGGTTCCCAAGGTCACATAGCTGGTAATTTGAATCCAAGCCGTCTGGCTCCAGAGTCAAGTTCTTAACAAATAGGTCAGTGGCTGTCCAACTTTGCTGCATGGTAAAATCACCTGGGAAGCTTTGAAAGATTCTTGATTCCCACATAACACTCCAGACAAATTAAATCAGAATGTCTAGGTGGTGGAAGTCAGCTGTCATTATTTTTGGAAGTTCCCCCTGTGATTCACGTGTTCAGCAGAGTTTGGACCACAACCTTAGGTAATTCTGCATCTCAAAAGCTGCATCAGTGTTTCTCTAGCTTAAGTGTGCAAGAGAAATGTCTGGGCAATTGTTAAAAGTACAAGTTCCATCCGTAGGGATCTTTTCAATAGGCCCACTGGCTTCCATTACACCTGTGATAGGATATTGGGGGTGGGAAGTAACTTTCTTTGCAGGAATTCTGAGTCACCTGGGCCTTTAAAATGAGTACATCTCCTGTAAAATTGTTGGTTTGCAATTTCCTAAGTAATGCAATACTCATTGATATGGTGTTTCTAACCTTTTGGTCTTCTTTGCATATGCTGTTCCTCTCCCTGGCCAGTCCTCTAAGCTTTCTCAACACTCTATCCAAACACACACTTCTGCTCTCTCATACATACAATACACATATCCTTTTCTTACTGTCTCTAGCTGTGTAACTACCACATTTCCTTCAAGATACCTCTGCCCCAACCCCCATTCACCTTTGTTTTTTCAGTCTCATCTTCAGCACCATCATAATGGAATTTACCAATTATTTTCTACAATGTTAGTTTTGTCCCTTCTATTGGATTATGAGTAACTTGAGGGCAGGGACCATATTTTCTCCATCTCTGTATTCCTTCTAGTGCTTTACATAGATACTCATAAAACTTTTACTTAATGCAATATTTAAGTCTCTTTTATGCTGTTGATAAACTTTATGCTGCAAATAGAATTTTCTCTGTTTTCATTTTTATAAAGGAACTTGGTAGTTTGTAGTGTTTGGAGTTGTTTTTTTTTTTCTCCTTGGGAATGTGCTAGTTAGGCTCATTATTTTATCTGTCTAGCAGTTGAACAAACACATTGAGTTCTTACCAATGGCAAGGCACTGTAGGACTAATCGTGTGCAATCAACAGCGGTTGGTTTTTAATGTCTCATTTTATCATACTCAGATACAATCAATTCTATGATGGAAACCTTTCTTTTACCCTTAGGCTTTTGCATGTGTTTCCCCTCTCATTGTCCAGAAAAATGTTTAGTTGTCATACACTGAATACCGTTGCCTTGTTGGTATTAGTAAATGCAAGTAAATGAAATTGCAGTTGGTTGTAGTTCATTCTACTCACTAGCAGAGATAACTTAAGAACTACTTAAGAATTGACAAATTCAGCATTGCAGAATTCTGAACTGCCATTGCCCTACATGTTTACAAGTTTTAAAGAAAACAGACTAGTAATTCGGTTTGGACTTGGTTTTGGTTAATCTTAAAACCATGTAAGGTTTATAAAGTAGGTGAGTATGTTTGTGAAGATCATTATTAGAGTTTGGGGGCAATAAAATTTTTTATACCAGTTAAATATGGTGATATATGTAGACTGAATAAAAATATACACTTTATATAATGACATTCTTTACAGTGTAAAGTTTTTTTTTTTTTTTTTTTTTTTTTTGTGTGTGTGTGTGTGTGTGTATGTGGTGCTAGGGATTGAACCCAGCGCTTTGTGTATGTGAGGAAAATACTCTACCAACTGAGCTATATCCCTAGCCCCACAGTGTAAAGATTTTTATGGGATAATTTTTCTTGGTTCACTCAAGTACTGTTTGCTCAGTTTTTAGGCTAAGGTTAATACAGAAACTGACGGGATAATTCATGTTAAGTCCAGGTACCCAAGAAACTTGTTCTTATTTTTTTGATCGCATGACCAGAGTATCCAGTTCTGGAGGTAGCACATGGAAGAAGCTCAGTCTTTTCATCTGAGGTTTAAGTCTCTAAAATAAGGATAAAAATTCTACACGTTCATGGAAAGATTGAAAGTGACTGTAACTGAAAGAGTGAAAGTGACTGGTAACCTGAGAACTGTGATTCCTTTCAATTTGGGGTATACATCATTGTCAGCAGGTGTCTTCCCTGACATGTAAAAGGCCTTTTGGATAGAATACATGATTTCTTTTGGTACAGGATGACTAAAATTTTAGTATTAGAGTCTGTAGCATTTATTTCTAACTTTTTAATAGATGAAGAAATGAAGTAAGTATCTTGCTCAGGGTGACATGGTTTGCTTCTAGCACATCCAGAATAGAAAGCAGGCCTTCTTCCTTTGGGTACAGTGTCCCCTTCCATGACCCCTTCCATGTCTTGTTTGTTGTTAGATTTGAGTGCCTTTGTATTGGGAGTGGGGAAAATGGACAGAGTAGTCTGCTATTTGAGATATCCAGTTAGATAGGTAGGTAGCAAATGCTTGGTGTATGATATACACTTTGCTATGTAAACTGGGGATACTAAGAGATGTGAGACAAAATTCCTTTCCTCAAAAAGACTATAATCCAGGTGCTGGAGTTGTAGCTCAGCAGTAGAGCACTTGCCTCATACGTGTGAGGCACTGGATTCGATTCCTAGTACCATATATAGATAAGCAAATAAAATAAAAGTTCGTCAACAACTTAAAAAAATAGTTTTTAAAAAAGACGGTAGTCTAGTCAGAGTTGTAATAAAAATAAAAGTATAGTATCTAAAGCACCTCTGTGAAACAGAATTTTCTGTTCAGATGGAACTGTATCTACATCTGATGTGTCCAACATGGTCATCACTAGCCACATGTGATATGTGAAATATGACTGGTGCAACTAAGGAATTAAATTTAAGGAACTGAATTTTTAATTAAATAGTTTCCTATTCCTATAGATACTCTGTTGGACAGAGTAAGTTGAGGTTTCAAAGAGGAGAGCTGCTGGATGTGGTGGTACAGGCCTTAATCCCAGTGACTCAGGAGCCTGAGGAAGGAGGATTGCAAGTTTGAGGCCAACTACAACAATTTAGTGAGAACTAAATAAAAAATAAAAGGACTAGGAATGTAGTTCAGTAGTAAAGGACCTCTGGTTCAATTCTAGTACTCCCCCCCCCAAAAAAAAAGGGCTGGTAAATGGGGGCATGTGGGGTCTAAATATTTTCTTTGGGTAGACTAGAAAAAGCTATCTTTGGGGAGACATGTAAACAGAACCTGTCTTTTCTTCCTTTAACTTGAGTGTTGGATAAGATCTTTAATAGAATCTGGTACATAGGTGATTGCATTTTTTTCCAAGTTGCTTGATATTTGCCTTGTGGGGTCAGTGGGACTGTAGAAGAGATTATGAACTGCGGTCCTTTTGCATTTATTAGTCATTAAGTTATATGGATGAACTTGAATTCACCTGTGTGCCTTAGAATCTAGCACATTTCATTTATTTGCTCAATATTTTGGCACCCTATACCTTGTTTTTCTCAAGAGAAACAGGCATACCTTATAATGTGTACCTTGCATTTGTATGTCCCTGAGTATATTGACTTAGGTTGCTTATTTGATCTTCTTCTCTAAGTCACTTTAGGTAGGTATTCTCCCTGTTTTACAGATGAAGAAACTATGAAAAAGAAATGCCAAGTGACTTGTCCAAGGTCGTATAAGGAATGGAGTCAGACAAAAGGAAGAAGCATTGGACTTTGAACAAGAGTTGGAGTTTCTTGTTCTAGCTCTGTTGTTATTTGATGTAACCCTGAGAAAGTCATAGCCTTAACTTTTTTTCTTACCTAGTTCATTGCAATAAAATGAAGTAATATGTGAAAGTTCTTTGAAAACAACCAATTATACAAAGGTACATGAGATTTCCTGTAGGTTTCTTTTGTATTATGCTGCTTTCACTACTCATCACATCAGTTATTGTATTAATACTGCATTATGGTGTCTTATTGATTTCTCTCTCATCCTGAGTATGAAAACTTCTGGGCAGCCATTGTGCCCTATTTATATCTCCATATCTACATCTTAGGACAAACTGGATGCATAGAAAACATTTAGTAAGTGTTTAATGAAATAACTGATATGTGGATTTACCTCATAGAGTTTTAAAAAATTGTTCTCTGTAGT